ACGGGATGAGGGCGAGGGAGAGGGATAGAAAAATAGGTCAATGGCTATGAGCGAATGTGGGCTGCTGATACTTTATCCATAAAGAGCCTCTCTCTCTTAAATCGGCGGGGACAGCGGGAGCAAACTTTGCTGTTGGGTTGGAAGACGAGGAAGAAACGCGAAAACTAGTAGAGAATCTTGACGCTACTAGGTGGCTCTGGAGGTGGTGGGACATTCTGCTGGCGGCGTGAGCGGTGAGAGGGCGGTGGAGAGCCTGCTATCAACAAATATGTGATTAGTTTGGAAGAGGGAAGGAGCTCTTACGTGCTAGGCCGATGTATTTGTTGATGTCCTTGGCGTATTTCGCGTATTGCGGATAATTCTTGGTGATGTTGTTCGCCATGTTTCGCAGCTCCGCCTTTATCTGCGCCTTGGTGGGCTTCGCGGCGGCCTGTGCGTGCGCGGTGGCAGCGAAGCAGAGCACGACGCAGAGCAGGCCGAAGAGAGCGAGGAGCCGTGAGCTGGCCATTTTTGTGGGAATGTAGGTGCGGGATTAGGTGGAGTAAATAGTCGTGTGCGGAGTTCTGGAAACAGTTTGATGGGAAGGCGAGTGAAGAGGAGGCACGAATGATTTTGATGAAAGAATTTGAGGCACAAAACATGATTTATAGCCGAGGGTGGGGGCTGGGAGCGCGTCAACAGGGACCGATATGCGGTTCGGGAAGCGGTGGTTGAGCCTTCGCGATGTAACAATTCTGTGATGGCGACGCGACGCGACCGAAACTCGCGTAACTCACCAGCAGGCAGATCACGGGAGAGCCCTGCCGTTCAGGAAACTGTCGTGAATCGATAAGTTTTCGCAGAGGCGGTGGCTATTGGTCGGTTGAAGTCGCGGTCCGCGTGAGGGCAGGCTCGATTTCAGCGACATTCTGTTGCTTGAAATGCGGTAGATTACGCAGTAGTAGCGGCCCCGCTATGCTCATTCAAGGCCCTTTTCCGATAACACCTTCGTTTATCTGACAACATGTGCTGAAAATCACAGTATTATTTTTATACAATATTGCAAAGCAAAGTGGTGGAGTACATCATTGTTGGTATTTGCGGAATAAGATGCTGCATTGTACTAATTTTCCTCCCTTAACAAATTCGGACTTTTGCTAGCTATCCGCATGGTTGATGCATAGCACCATGAAACCTTCATAAATCTGTAAGATGATCATGCAATGAGCTCGTGGCCATCACGCGGTGAGCACGTGGAAGAGCAGACAACGGCGCTTCTCAGGAAACTCCTTGTTCCCATCGCCCTTGTTGAGGTTGATGACGTCACCATTGGAAGCCTTGAGCTGCACGATGGTGAGCGGCAGGCGCACACAGCACCCCTTGAAGGCCGTTGTTGGCAGGCTCTTCTGGAACGTGCGCGCAGACACCTTGGCAGGCTGGGGGGAGGAGAGGAGAGGGTGGGACAGTGGAGGGAGTGAATAAGGACAGGGGAATGGGGGAAGTATAGATCTGACCGGCAAGGAAGGGGGAATAAGGTAAGGAGGGCATGATCACTATTGGTGAGGACAAGGGGAAAGGCAGGCAAACACAGGCAGGCAAACACAGGCAGGCGAACACAGGCAGGCGAACACAGGCAAGCGAACACAGGCAGGCGAACACAGGCAGGCGAACACAGGCAGGCAAATACAGGCAGGAGAACACTGGCCGGAAAACACAGGCAGGCGAACACAGGCAGGCAAAGACAGACAGGCAAAGACAGGCAGGCGAACACAGTCAGGCGAACAAAGGCAGGCGAACACAGCAGCCGTTGAAACCGGAGGCTGGCAAGATCTTCTGGAAGGTGCGAGCGTGTAAGATAGAGGGCTCGGGAGAGCATAAGCGTCAGGCAGCGAACGACAAAGGCACTAAGGCTTCAAGGAATTGAATTCATGATATATCCGAGGAGAAATTATCCGGTTTAATCAACTCCATCGAAAGGAATCAAAGTAGTCATCGAGAAAGCTGAGGAGGGAGGGGGAGGGTCCGGAGGGGAAGGGGGAAAGGGGAGGGTAACGAATGGGAGAGTGGGCAGGAGGAAGTAGAGCCAACGGAATAGGAGGAGGGAAGAGGAAGAGGGAAGGGATTCGGGTTTAGGAGAAGAGAAGAGGGTCAGAAAGAAGAGGAACATGTTTCTGCGTTGCCAAGTAAGGACCAAAAGCCTAGACTTATCTGTCCAGTGACGTAAAACTGATCACCGGTGTGTGCTACATTTTTCGCCAGCTTCGCCGCCTCGCACTTGCAATATTCTGCCGGGCCCGTCGCGTCAATCTCCACCTGGTAACCACCCTTCTTCGCCTTCTTGTCGACAACGTCAGTGGCAATCGCGAAACATCGGTGGCGATTGCGAGGCTCAAGGGACGAACGCCGTTCTGCTGGGAGAGCACGAGCGCGCCTCCGGAGATCACGGGGAAGCGGAGTGAGGGCAGGCCGAGCGGGCTGAGCAGATCGAAATAGAAGTCTTAGGCGGGGAGGAGGCCAAAATTCACGCAGATCTTCGACGCGTCGTCAAATCGGAGCCCGCCGGGAGCCTGCGCGATGGTGCAGGCCAACGTGGCGGCTGCTGATTGGACGGCGCCAGCCATGGCTCCGGCCGCTGCGCCCAGGGCTGCAGCGGGGTCGAACGCGGGCAGCTGCTGGAGGACACGACGCGGTCCTTCGCGGTGGAGAGCGGTAAAGTTTCGAGGAACAGAAGCCCTAGAGGCAGCTGTAGCGAGGCAGAGTACAGCAACGAGGATGCGTGTAACGCGGATGGCCATATCGGTCAAATTAGGTGGTCAAATCACAACTATAAGACTTATCAGCTTGTTTTCAACTTTCATGGTGCAACTATAAGACTGTTCGTTAAAGTAACAGTGCAAAGCGCTCACATTCTATGGGTGATTGGTAGGTTTCTTGTGAATTATCGTATCGGAAGTTCACTTCTACATGTACCCTTTCATACTCGTTATACCGTGCCGTTCCCCGCCTCCCCCCCCGCCACCATTTCCGGGATGCCTGTCTGCTCTTCCCCCCCTCCATAGCTTGCCAATCTCCGCAACGGATGAGGGGTTGTTCCGCGTGATTCCCCCCCTTCATCCTCTCACACATGCCATAATGCATTGCACGTGTCTTTTCGACATTGTAGTAATTTAGGAAGGTATCTCCAAGCCTAGTATTGCTGACAGAGGCTGCTATCTGTTCCCTCATTGTGCAAGTAGGCGTTTCAGTGAAACTGAACGTTCATAGCTCGCAATGGGGGTCCACACATTGGTTCACGTGAAGAACAGTGAGGTTCCAGGGGATGGAGGAACTGGAGGTAGCTGTAGCGAGGCAGAGAACAGCAACAAGGACGCCTGTAACGCGGATGGCCATGTCGGTCAAATTACTTCTCCGTGCGAGTTTGGAGAACTTAGAGATTCGGATGAAAGAACGAACTTTCCTCGTTGCAAAGAATGAGCTTGGAATAGTGATGGGAAGGTCTTAAATAGTCGGTGTAATGACGAGTCGCTTTGCTTTGACTCATCTGGCATAGCAGATGCTTCAGGCTGTAGAGAGCGGTGCGATTGCGCCGTGCTCCTTCCATTCGGCGACGTTGCGGATAATTAATCCAGCGCGAAACTCAGAATCGGGTCTCACGAGGTGGCCTACTCATCCGTCCATCAATCGAAACCGGCGAGCCGCAGCGCGAGCGCCTCCAAATTTCTTCGGGTGTCAGAAAAGAGCCTGCTTGTGCGGAAAATAGTAGGGGCGCTGGGGATTGAAGAACCTAGCGCGGAACTTCAAGGACTACATTCAGTTCGGAGGAATTTAGGGGGTTGGGGGAATCGGGGGGACCTGGCGGGGGGAACCGGGGAGTCGGGAAGAACTGGGGAATCGGGGGGAACCATGAACTTTGGGGGTTTTGGGGGAAGGGAGATTGACGAATGGGGGAATAGGGCGGACGGGAGGATGAGCTTGGGAAGGGGGAACGCGGGACTGGGGGGGTAATGGCGGGGGGAGGGGGGTCACCGGGGAAGGGGGGCGCGGGTAGTGCTGGGAGGGGGTCATGTCGTGTGTTTCGATTCGGGGCGTCAATCGCTTGTGTCTGACGGCTGACTGTCCATATGACGGCTCGACTGCGGATCGACCGACTTGATTTCAACGACGACACGAACTCTTCGTTATGCCCGTCTTCGAGTAAAATGTACATGCGACCAGAATACCGTAATCCCCTGTATAAAGCACCCTATGGTGTTCATAAAAATGCATGAAAATTTTGGGATGGGTGTAATTAAAGGCAAAAAAAATATAACATCCAGGAGCTGTGGAACATGCGTATGGCATTCCCAATTGGAATTCAAATGTGCATGTTTCACCACCTTCATTTGAGTCAAACGACGACTTTTGTTCACCACATCGCGTACCTGACGATGTGGCCCAGTTGCATGCCACATCGGCAATGAACGTGTAGAGTCAAGCAGACAGCATGTGCAGCAAGCGTGACTTGTGTCCTGATGAGTGCCAGTTTCCCGACCAGTAGGAGGCACCGGGCGTTTGGTTCGGCTCGGCGTGCTCGATTTCGCGTATTTTTCAGGGATTTTCAACAGGGCAGATTCGGATCTTCTACCTGAATACCCGCGGCACAGTGGCAACTAGCTCGTTTTCCCCACTCCCGCTGATGTTGATACCGTTGGCACAGCAGGAGAAGGAAAAATAACAACAGCACACATCTTCACATCACAAATTCTTGTGTTTCTTGAAAAAAATATAAGATTTTAGGCGGCAGGGGGGTGTTCAAATGTTTACACATCCGAGGCTAGGGTGTTGTGTATATCCAGAAAAATTAAACACCCATACCCGCTCAAGCTACCCGGGGGGGGCTTAATTCCGGCGGGTGTTTTATGTGGGGGAATACGGGTACAATAATTCGCCCTAACAAATGAGCTCAACAAATAACAAGCATATTCGGCTTGTGATAACACGGGAAAATTCCCACCAATAAACAAGCATGTAGAATATCATTCGCTTGTGGTATCCAAGCCCAACTTCTGCTGCACCTTCAGAGTAGCAGCCATGGCATGGCAGCAGGCTCGGCATTGAACGAGAACCCGTCAAATCATCGTTAAGCTTGTTCGGCCAACAAGAGCCTTACTTCCTTTGGTTCCACAGCAGGTCAACAGCTGAGCAATTCGCACCAGAGGGCAGCAATCAACCTCACGAGAAGAATCAATTCTGACACTATATGAGCCGTATATTGAAAGTACTACAATGAGTAGAATGCTATGCTGTATCACTAAGCTCTTTCAGGATTGGATCTGATGCCCAGTTGACCACCAGTCAACCCTAGTTCAGAGGTTGAACCAGCAGCATGACTGATAGTCAACTGGGGACCGAACTGGGTTTCAGAAACGCTTACACTCTAGTGTTAGTGGGAATGAGGACTTTATCCACGCCGTGAGCGATGAAGTACGGCCCAGCATACAGCCTGACGATCTTGATCGTCGTCCATGCGGCAGGAGGGGCGTTGGGCGTTTTGGCGAAAGATACCGTGTTACCATTCTGCACCGAAACCTTGTAGATCGCCTGATTCAGCTGCGTGCCCAGAGGCTGCGACTTCTTGAGCACCGTGAGCGCGGGAACGGTGTACTTCTTGCGGATTATGTGGTACGCGGTGATGTTGTAGATTTTGGGGATATTGGAGCTTGTAGCGGGGACCTTCTTAGCGAGGGCCTGCGCTTCGGTGTCGCTGGGGAGCAGCAGGGTTGCGTCGCTGAGAGCAGTGAAATCGTACTTGGAGTTCACTGGAGATGGGGCGAGGGATAGGGAGGAGAGGGAGGATGGAGAAGAGTGGTTCAATGGCTGAGCGCATATCTGACTACACTTCTGAGCTATTTGAGGGAAAGGACGTCAGGAATTTCGATACCGTATGGAATTGCCATATCGTGACGGATAGTTGGTGAAGGTCTGGAACGTGCAGAAATAACTCCCGACTGCCAGCGAAACGGGGAGGAATGCCTCCCCGCTAAGAAGAAACGTGATAGCACTAAGACTCTTCCGCTAGGAATCCCTCCCCACCTCGGAGGTGGGACAACTACCACGTTACGTATTGCGGGAACTTTTCCTCTGCCGCTGACTCAAGGGGTTCTGGATGTGGGACATTGTGCTGACTGTGTGAGGGAGAGAGCGGAGAGCCAGCTTGCGAAAAATGAAAGAAAAGAGAGAGCCCTTACGTGCTAGGCCGATGTACTTGTTGATGTCCTTGGCGTACTTCGCGTATTGCGGAAAATTCTTGGTGATGTTGTTCGCCATGTTTTGCAGCTCGGCTTTTATCTGCGCCTTGGTGGGCTTTGCCTGTGCGTGCGCGGTAGCGAAGCACAGAACGATGCAGAGGAGTCCGAAGAGAGGGAGCAACCGTGAGCTGGCCATATTCGGCGGGAAATCGGTGTACGATCGTACAGATGTGGGAAGCGATTGACTGGATGCTTGTGAACTGCTGGCGGGATTTTGGGGCAGGCGGGGTGAATGGCTTTCGTGGGGAAGTGAAGTCTGTTGGATGCAAGGGAGACAAGTCGAGGCGAGGCACGAATGAAAGATTTTGAGGCAGGAAATGTGATTTATAGCTGAGGGAGGGGCTGGGAGCGCGTCAACACAAACCGACATGCGGCGCGGGAATCGGTGCTTGAGCCTCGGCGATGTAACATCACCCTGGTGGTGGCGCGAGGCGACACGGTCGAAATTCGCGTAACTCACCATGCTCGCGAATCCTGGTTCTGGCAAGAAACTGTCGCGAAGGCACATGAGTTCGCTGAGGCGGTGGCGATTGGTGGGTTGAAGTCGCGGTCCGCGTGGGGGCAGGCTCCGTTTCAATGACATTCCATCCTGCTTCGACCTAGGGGAACCGAGTTCTGCTGAATGGAGAAGATAATGCAGTAGTAGCATCCTCGCGATCTGCAAAATGAACTGACGGTTTCTTCACGCACAGCATACACGTATATGCCCATATGCATTCTTTTGAAACCTCAGAGTGTAAAAAAGTGGAAGGGGCATGCAGCAAAGAAAATGTGAAGGACATGACCTGAATACGCAAGACCTATCAAATAGGCAGAGCCAATAAAATCCACCTAGGGCTTCTGGTCCCCAACCCCAACCCCTGCTGCGGCTTCAGCAGCAGCAGCCATGGCAGCAGCAGGCTTGGTGTTGAAGTAGTAGGAGGCATGATGAGCATGGCCGAACTGAGCCAGCATCTGGAGCTCCTCCTCTGACGGAATGTGCACGTCACGGTACTCCTCTGCACATGTAGTAAAAGTGGGGGGATGTGGGGGAGGAATAGAAGAGCAGGGAGCACGAGAGGGAGATGGGGGATGAAGTATAGGACGCATGGAGGGTATGCCCGAATTGAGCCAGCATCTGGAGCTCCTCCTTTGAAGGAATGTGCATGTCTTGGTACTCCTCTTGTGAAAGAGGAACGGGGGTAGGGGGGAGGTGGTGGTGAGGTAGAGACACGAGAATGAGGGAAAGGGGGGGTATGGTGAGCATGCCCGAATTGAGCCAGCATCTGGAGCTCCTCCTTTGAAGGAATGTGCATGTCTCGGTACTCCTCTTGTGAAAGAGGAATGGGGGTAGGGGGGAGGTGGTGGTGAGGTAGAAACACGAGAATGAGGGAAAGGGGGGTTTGTTTTTTAAGTAGGAGGCATGGTGAGCATGGCCGAACTGAGCCACCATCTGGAGCTCCTCCTCTGATGGAATGTGCACGTCACGGTACTCCTCTGCGAGAAGATGGGAGTGGGAAAGCAGCAGGGGGAACGAGGCCATGCAAGCGCATCTGATTCCTGAATCGGGTGCTTCTTGTGGGATGGACGGTGCATGTCACGTCATGGTGGTACTCCTCGGCAGATTCAGACGACGCACGGGAGATGGGAGGAATCGAAGAGTCTATTTTTTAGGCGCCTAAAAAATAGACTCCTCACGCATGGATTTTTTTTTAGGCGCCTCAAAAATTGACTCCTCATGCATGGAAATTATTTTTAGGCGCCTCAAAAACAGATTCAGACGCGGCACGGGAGATGGGAGGAATCGAAGAGCAGAGAGGATGAATGAAGGAGGAGGAGGAAGAGGGGGGGGGCGGGGGAGAAAAGGGGGGGACGAATTGAAGTAGCAGGAGGCCAGGGCTGAATGGCGCCAGCCAGCAGCTGGAGCGTCGCACCCAAGGGGGATTCTGATGAACCGTGCACGTCGCGATACTCCTCTGCGAGAATGGGAGGGACAAAAGACCAGGGAGAACACAGGGGCAGGGGAGGGGGGAATATGTGTTTGTGGCGGGAATTTTTGAGGCGCCTCAAAAATGGGAGGGACAAAAGACCAGGGAGAACACGGGGGCAGGGGAGGGGGGGATATGCGTTTGTATGTGGAGGGAATGGGGGGGTAAGGAAACGGGGGAGGGGGGGGAGAGGGGAGAAGGGGGATCTGAAGCTCACCCTGTGCAGGCAATGTGCATGTGATGACAGTCCTCTGCGTGGAAATGGCAGGGATAGGAACGGGAATGTAGGCGGGGTATGTTTCAGCCACCATCTGGACATCCGTGTTTGATATTTCTTATAAGTCGCGCCGAACTCCTTGCATGGCGGGCGGTAGCACAATTAAAAGTGCAACGGAAATGCTCCCTGTTTCATAACGTTCCTTTTTTCACTAAGAAACGGCCAGCATGTGGCGCTCTTCTTTTTCATCCGATGGAATGGGCACTGACTGACTGTGCAAACATTGGGAAGAGGAAGGGGAAGGGGTATAGGGGAGGGGGTAGAGGGGAGGGGGTAGAGGGGAGGGGGGGAGGGGGGGGGGAGAGAGGAGGGAGATGAGAAGGATGGGGAGGGGACGTGTCCAGAGACATCTCAAACTCACACTTGCGCACACACTCGCTCTCACACGCACACACTCACTCTCACACGCACACACTCGCTCTCACACGCACACACTCACTTACTCACTCGGACCGGGCATTCGCCTGGGAGCGCGGATGCAGAGGGGATAGAACACATGGGAGCGAAGAGCCTCGCACACATGGAGTTGCATATCGCATAGAAATCAAACCCACCTGGTATTTGCCTGGGAGCGCGGATGCGGATGGGGTCGAATTGATGCGAGGCTGCTTCTGGGCGGTACGACTTGACCCAGTCTGCAGGGGGAAAAGGGGACGAGAGAAGGAGGGGGTGGGGGTGGGGGTAGGAGGAGGGGCATGAGTTAATGTTCATGATGCATGGCGGCGAGATAGATGGGATTGAATTGGTGCGAGGCAGCGTCTGGGCGGTACAACTTGATCCCGTGTGCAGGCGGAAAGGGGGACATGGGGAGGCGGGGGAAGGGGGGGGAGGGAGGGAGGGGAGGCGGGGGGAGGGGGGGAGGGAGGGAGGGGAGGCGGGGGAGGAGGGGAAGGGGGGAGGGGTTGGAGGGGAGTGAAGGTTCATGATGTAAGGCGGAGAGGGAGACGCGTCGAATTGATGCGAGGCCGCTGCGTCTGGGCGGTACGACTTGACCCAGCCTGCAGGGGGAAGGGGGGACATGGGGAGGGGGATGGGGAGGGAGGGGAGTTAAATTTGATTATGAAAGGCGGAGAGAGAGAAGGGGTCGAATTGATGCGAGGCCGCCGCGTCTGGGCTGTACGACTTGACGCAGCCTGCAGGAGGAAGGGGGGACAAGGTGATTTTTGAGTCGACTCAAAAATCACTCACGAATTGACGCAGCCTGCAGGGGGGAGGGGGGACAAGCAGGGGTGGGAGAAGGAGCGGAGGGACAAGGAGGGGTGGGAGAAGGAGCGGAGGGGCAAGGAGGGGTGGGAGAAGGAGGGGAGAAGCCGCCGCGTCTGGGCGGTACGACTTGACCCAGTCTGGGGCGAAATGGGGAAGACGGGCGGGGAGGGGTGGAGGGGGGGGGGGGTTGGAGGGGGGGGTGGGGGAGGGGTAGGTGGGGGGGGAGGATGTGGTGGAAGAAGTAGAGGGTAAGCCAGGCAAAGAGGATTATGGGGGTGGAGACAAATCGCTTACACTCTCGTAAGCCAGCGCCTCAAACTGGAAAAAAAAAAAATGTGTTGTGACATACGAGAGAAGGGTCGAATCCTTTCTTTTACTCTAGTAGAGGCGCCTCATGTCGACTCAAAAGTCATTTTTGATTCGACTCAAAAGTCACACGGAACTTCCGCCACATTTACGAGGCTGTGTGAGAGAAGCGGCCTACCGTTGAAGTTTGGGCGGCCGCCGTGGCGGGGGAGAGAGTAGGCGCGGTTCGGTAGAAGCAGAAGAAGGCAGGCCACGACGACGACGAGGAGAAACGTAACACGAGGATTCCGAAACTCTAGCCTCATGGCGACCGTTTAATGTAATAATTTTAGAGCTAAGAGCTCTTAGAGCCTTCTCTTAAGTCTGTAGAGTGCGGTCCCAATGCGTCGTGCGAGGCGCGCGGACTATAGTGCACTAACGACGAGAGGTACGCGAGGCGACGACGATTACAGTACGGGGAGTGAGGTTGGTGGAACTTAGTAAGGTGAGGCCAGAGCAGGCAGAATCTCCTTTTGGCGTGATTCCGTCTCGAGTAAAACACGCGCATGGTACACCAAGATTATCCGCTACCCATTCGCCATATATATGGGACAATAGGCATATAAACCCCCATATATCGATATTCAAAGAAATTTTCAAATTACAGATGAAATGAGTCGTCAAACTACCTCCTGTGCGGTCCACCCAATACAAAAGGGAGCTCCCACCACCAGGCCTTCCATCTTACAATCGTAGTGCGCTAGCTTCAGCTGCTACGGTGTGGTGTGGTGTGGTGTGGTGCGGTGCCTCTTCAATCAGTAAAACCAACAGAAAACATTGAACCACGAGCAGGTCTCCGCAAAATTGCCTCAAATTCCAGGCCCCTGTAGGAATCAGTGTCCCCTTTGCTCAATGTACGATCCAGAGAGGCCCGATGTGCCCAGCAGACTAATCTGCAGCATGCGGAAAGTGTGGAGTAGGTGGGAGCCGGGGGGGGTGGGAGAGGGGGGTGGGAGAGGGGGGGGGGGGGGGGGGAGGAATAGTTTAGGCGATGGGGAGGAGACGAAGGAGACTTAAAGTGCCCAATAAGCTACCCCGAAGCACGCGGAGAAGGCACGAGTCGGCAAAGGAAATTATCCAAAGCACCTCCTCCAGCATGTGAGAACCTCCTCCATGTGAGAACCTCCTCCAGCTGGTTACCACTGCGTCTCTGCTCTTTGGTAACCAGCTGAGTCTGCTTGAAGCGAAGAGTTCCTCATGCACCAAAGTTCCCATTGCCGGTGAAGGAGTCTGGAATCGACTACTCCTGGGGGAGGGAGCCCCCCCTCCTTCACCTCCAGGGGAGGGTGGGGACGGGGGAGGTTGCATGGTTGGGCTCATCTCACCAGATTCCACTCCTCTTCAAGCCCGCATTGCATTGCTGCCCGCTACATTGCTGCTTCACCGTGATCAGCACGCCGCCCAGCTCCTTCTTCGCCTTGTCTTGTACCCTTTATTCACCCAGCAACCAATGTTGTCATCCTCGGGTGTACCTACCTCTCTCTCACCCAACTGGTTCCACTCCTCCTCAAGTCCGCTGCACCGCTGCTTCACGCTGATCAGCACCCTTCCAAGCTCTTCCTTCACCAAAGTGTCGAGCGCCCCACCCTCGCTGCTAACCCCACCACCCAACCCAAAGACCATGCTCTCGCCATGTTCCACTCCTCCTCCAGTCCGCTGCTTCACGGTGATCAGCACCCCGCCCAGCTCCTCCTTCCCCTTGCCTTGTACCCTTGGGCTATCATCCTTGGATGCCCCTCCCCTTTTCTCTCACCTGGTTCCACTCCTCCTCCAGTCCGCTGCACCGCTGCTTCACGGTGATCAGTGCGCCGCCCAGTTCCTCCTTCGCCTTGTGCTGCAGCCACCCCCTCCTCCTCCCTATCCCCACCCTGGACCTCACAGCTCACCTGGTTGGGCTCATCTCACCTTATTCCACTCCTTTTCAAGTCCGCTGCACCGCTGCTTCACTGTGACCAGCACGCCTCTCAGCTCCTCCTTCCCCGTGACTTTTACCCCTACTACTACTACAACTTGGACTCACAAGCAACCCCTAGGCTAATCCTCTCACCTGGTTCCACTCCTCTTCAAGTCCGCTGCACCGCTGCTTCACGGTGATCAGTGCGCCGCCCAGCTCCTCCTTCACCTTGCGCTGCAGCCACCCCTCCTCCTCTTTGAAAGCGCCCAGATACGCCGAATAGCGCTTCAGAGCAGAGGTGAGGGCCGCCTTCATGTCCTCCAGGATCTTACCCACAACCTGCATTCAAGAGGGGGGGGAGGGGGGGTGGGGGGGGGGGGGGAGGGGGAAGAACATGTGTAATCAGCATACCCTCTCCTCCTCTTTGAGCGGTGCTAGGTACGCCAAAGCGCTTCAGAGCAGAGGAGAGGGCCGCCTTCATGTCCTCCGGGATCTTACCCACAGCTTGCGTGGGGGAGTTGGAAAGGCGGGGGGAGGGGGAGAAAAGGTGTGTTCAGAGGCCCCCCCTCCTCTGCGAACTAGTCCAGGTACGCCGAATAGCACTTCAGGGCAGAGGCGAGAGCCGCCTTCATGTCGTCCGGGATCTTACCCACCGACTGGGAGAGGGGGACAGGATCGGGGGGGAGGAGGAGGAACGGGGAGTCCAGGTATACTGTATAGCGCTTGAGAGCAGCGGAGAGAGCCGCCCTCATGTCGTCCGGGATCTTACCCACCGCCTGCATTGAGCAGTGGAAGGGAGTTGGGAAGGAAAGGTGCATTCAGCAGCCACCCCTTCTCCTCCTCCTCTTTGAAAGCGTCCAGATACGCCGAATAGCGCTTGAGAGTAGAGGCGAGAACCGCCTTCGTGTCGTCCGAGATCTTACCCACACAGCCGGCATTGCATGGGGGGAGAAGCGGGAAGAACAGGGGGTGCATCTCCAACGACCCCCCTCCTCTTTAAAAGAGTCAAGGTACGTGAAGAGCGCTTCAGGGCATAAGCCAGAGCCGCCTTGATGTCCTCCGGGATCTTACCCACAGCCTGCAGGGGGGAGTTGGAGGGGGGGGGTGGGGGGAAGACAAAAGGTGTAATCAGCGCACCCCCCCTCCTCTTTGAAAGCGTCCAGGTACGCCGAATAGCGCTTCACGGCAGCGGTCAGAGCCACCTTGATGTCCTCCAGGATCTCACCCACAGCCTGCATCTCAAACACTAGAGAGCAGCATCTCGAACACTAGAGAGCAGCATCTCGAACACTAGAGAGCAGCATCTCGAACACTAGAGAGCAGCGTCTCGAACACTAGAGAGCAGCGTCTCGAACACTAGAGAGCAGCATCTCGAACACTAGAGAGCAGCATCTCGTGGGGGGGAAGCGGAAAGAACAAGGGTTTTATCTCAAGGAGGGGGAGAGGGGGAGAGGGGGGAGGGGGGAGGGGGGAGAGGAGGGCGGAAACGAAGGTGCTTCTCGAGCTTTCTCCCTCCCCCTCTGTAAAGGCATCCAGGTATATTGAATAGAGCTAATCTTCGCGATAAATAGCCTCATCTTCACTTATCCCCGCTATGAGCAACCTCACCCTCGCTAACCCCCACAATCATCAGACACAGCTGTGAAAGCCCACTATGCTCGTCCAGACCAGACCAGACCAGACCAGACCAGACCAGTCCAAGTCCAGCTCCAGCTTTACCTGCTAGTCATACACCACGCTCATTCCTAGGACAACCAGGCTTATGATCCCCGCTATAAGCAGACTCGTCTCGCCACCAAATTTGCACTGCACTCATCTAGCTCCAGCCTTAGCACCTCCAGATTTTCCCAAGAGGCCTCCACCATTGAAAAGCAGGGTCATCCCCGCTATAAGCGGACTCACCTCTCCGCCAAACTTGCCCCCAATGAGTTCGTCCAGGTCCAGCCTCAGCAGCTCCAGCTTCTCCCCAAACACCCTCCGGTCACAAGCAGACCCAATATCCCCGCTATAAGCCGACTCACCTCGCCTCCGAACTTGCCCCCACTGAGTTCGTCCAGGTCCAGCCTCAGCAGCTCCAGCTTCTCCCCAAACACCTCCACCGCCTCTGCTGCTGCTTTCAGGGATGTGAGAGCCTCCTTTTCCACCGCATCCCTGGTTGCAAAGAAAGAACGGTAGAGGCGGAGGGGCGGAAAAGCGCTGAGGTCCAACACCTAGTGTGGCTCCTCCAGCCCCAGCAGCTCTGCCTTTCCCCCACAGACTTCCACCGCCTCTGCTGCCGCCTTCAGGGATGTGAGAGCCTCCTTTGCCACCGCATCCCTGGTTGCAAAGAGACAGGAAAGTGCAAAGCCAGATTAGAACACCTTCCGGATCAGCAGCTCTGCCTTCTCCTCCCCAAACACCTCCACCGCATGTGCTGCTGCTTTCAGGGATGTCAGAGCCTCCTTTGCAACAGCATCCCTGGTAGTAAGCAAAACGGGAGAGGAGGAGGGACGGACGGACGACAAATGCTGCTGGGCTGTGGTCAAGCACCTTCTGTAGCAGCAGCAGGCAGCAGCTCCAGCTTCTACCCAAGCACCTCCACCGCCTCTGCTGCTGCTTTCAGGAATGACAACGCTTCACTGCTGCCTCTAGGAATGCCATTCCTAGAGGCGGATATTCCTGAGGAATCACTAGTGATTCATCGCCTCCTCCGCCTCTAGTGATGAATCACTAGCATCACTGGTTGCAAGCACAACGGGGACGGAGGAGGGACGGACGGACAACGAATGCTGGGCTGGGGTCGGGTCTAGCACCTTGTGTGGCAGCAGCTCCAGCTTCTCCTTTGGAGCTCAATCACTGATGGTGGCAGAGGGGAAAGAAAGGGGAAAGGAAGGGAGAGTAACGCATGGAACGACTGTGCGTGTGCGTGTGCGTGTGCGGCAAATGCTGGGCTGGGGTCTAGCACCTGCTGTAGCAGCAGCTCTAGCTTCTCCTTGGCAGCTGAATCACTGACAGAGGAGGGGAAGGGGGATTGGAGGAAGGAATCCATTCAAATCCCAGCTTCTCCCAGAAGGGGGGAAGGGGGGACAAGGAGGGGTGGGAGAAGGAGCGGAGAACCTGCCGCGTCTGGGCGGTACGACTTGACCCAGTCTGGGGCGGAATGGGGAAGACAGGCGGGGAGGGGTGGGGGGGGGAGTGGGGGGTGGGGGAGAGGGGGGTGGGGGAGGGGGGGGTGGGGGGGGGAGGATGTGGTGGAAGAAGTAGAGGGTAAGCCAGGCATAGAGGATTATGGGGGAGGGCAATGCTAGACAAATCGCTTACACTTTCGTAAGCCAGTGCCTCAAAGTGGAAATAAAAAATGTGTTGTGACATACGAGAGAAGGGTCGAATCCTTTCTTTTACTCTAGTAGAGGCACCCCAGAATTCATGTCGACTCAAAAGTCACACGGAACTTCCGCCACATTTACGAGGCTGTGTGAGAGAAGCGGCCTACCGTTGAAGTTTGGGCGGCCGCCGTGGGGGGGGAGAGAGTTGACGCGGTTCGGTAGAAGCAGAAGAAGGCAGGCCACGACGACGACGAGGAGAAACGTAGCACAAGGATTCCGAAACTCTAGCCTCATGGCGACCGTTTAATGTAATAATTCCTCATGCAAAGAGTTCCTGAGTCTGCTTGAAGCGAAGAGTTCCTCATGCACCAAAGTTCCCATTGCTGGTGAAGGAGTCTGGAAATGACTACTCTTGGAGGAGGGAGCCCCCCTCCTTCACCTCCGGGGGGGGGGTGGGGAGGGGGGAGGTTGCAATGACGCCCCTCTGAATCCTTCAACTCGATCCAAGCCCTTCCTCGCTTCTTGGCCCTTCCTCGCTTCTAGACCCCAGCCGGCCTCAGCCCATGCCTGCTGCATAGCCACTGCTCCGTGATCTGTGACCATGGGGTGACTTTTGAGTCGACTCAAAAGTCACCTCTGCTGCATAGCCACTGCACAGTGACCTGTGACCATGCGTGAGGAGTCTATTCTTGAGGCGCCTCAAAAATAGATGCCACACTTATCACAAAGCTCGCTGCTCCAGTTACACTTACCCTGGAGGATATGATCTTATTCCACCTTATCTTCCGCTCAATTGCAGGTGTATTTTGAGTCGGTGATTTTTGAGTCGACTCAAAAATCAATTGCAGGTGTATTTTGAGTCGACTCAAAAAACAAATGCAGGTGTATTTTGAGTCGACTCAAAAATCAATTGCAGGTGTATTTTGAGTCGACTCAAAATACACCTGATCTTATTCCACCTTATCCTCCGCTCAATTGCGCAAGTGTAGCACTCACGCCTGCCCGGCCCTTATCCCCACCCTCTCCTTGTTCCATCCGTCTCACCTTACTCCAAATTTCCTCCAGCCTGCTACCAGTGATCAGCACGCCGCCCATCTTCTCACCCCCCTTTCCGCCCTCCTCTCTCCCCACCCTAGGGCCATCATCTCCCATGGTTGATTTTAGTATTGAGGCGCCTCAAAACTACCCTCCTCTCTCCCCACCCTAGGGCCATCATCTCCCATGGTTGGCCTCATCTCACCAGATTCCACTCCTCTTCAAGCCCGCATTGCACTGCTCCTTTGAGGCGCCTCAAAACATGGTGGGCTCATCTCACCTAATTAATTCCACTCCTCTTCAAGCCCCCATTGCACTGCTGCTTTGAGGCGCCTCGAAACATTGTGGGCTCATCTCACCTAATTAATTTCACTCCTCTTCAAGCCCGCATTGCACGCTGCTTTGAGGCGCCTCGAAACATGGTGGGCTCATCTCACCTAATTAATTCCACTCCTCTTCAAGCCCGCATTGCACTACTGCCCGCATTGCATTGCTGCCCGCTGCATTGCTGCTTCACGATGATCAGCACCCCGCCCAGCTTCTTCTTCCCCTTTCCTTGTACCCTTGGGCTATCATCCTTGGATGCCTCTCCCCTTTTCTCCCACCTGGTTCCACTCCTCCTCCAGTCCGCTGCACCGCGCTGCTTCACGGTGATCCGTGCGCCGCCCAGCTCCTCCTTCACCTTGCGCTGCAGCCACCCCTCCTCCGCCCTATCCCCGCCCTGGAACTCACAGCTAACCTGGTTGGGCTCATCTCGCCTTATTCCACTCCTCTTCAAGCCCGCTGCACCGCTGCTTCATTGTGACTAGCACGCCTCTCAGCTCCTCCTTCCCCGTGACTTTTACCCCTACTACTACTACAACGGACTCACAAGCACCCCCTAGGCTAATCCTCTCACCTGGTTCCACTCCTCTTCAAGTCCGCTGCACCGCTGCTTCACGGTGATCAGTGCGCCGCCCAGCTCCTCCTTCACCTTGCGCTGCAGCCACCCCTCCTCCTCTTTGAAAGCGCCCAGATACGCCGAATAGCAGAGGTGAGGGCCGCCTTCATGTCCTCCGGGATCTTACCCACAGCCTGCATTCAAGAGAGGGGGGAGGGGGTGTGGGGGGTGGGGGGGGTGGAGAACATGTGTTATCAGCACACCCCCTCCTCCTCTTTGAACGGCGCCAGGTACGCCAAAGCGCTTCAGAGCACAGGAGAGGGCCGCCTTCATGTCGTCCGGGATCTTACCCACAGCCTACGGGGGGGAGTTGGAAAGGCGGGGGGAGGGGGAGAAAGGGTGTGTTCAGAGGCCCCTCCTCCTCTGCGAACTAGTCCAGGTACGCCGAATAGCGCTTCAGGGCAGAGGCGAGAGCCACCTGCATGTCGTCCGGGATCTTACCCACCGACTGGGATAGGGGGACAGGACCGGGGGGGAGGAGGAGGAACGGGGAGTCCAGGTGCACTGTATAGCACTTGAGAGCAGCGGAGAGAGCCGCCTCATGTCGTCCGGGATCTTACCCACCGCCTGCATTGCATGGGAGGGGAAGCGGAAAGCACAGCGGAAAGAACAGCGGAAAGAACAGCGGAAAGAACAGCGGTGGATCTCAATTAACCCCCCTCCTCCTCTTTAAAAGCGACAAGGTACGTGAAGAGCGCTTCAGGGCAGAAGCCAGAGCCGCCTTGATGTCTGGGAAAGATCCGGGATCTCACCTACAGCCTGCAGGGGGGAGTTGGAGGGGGGGGGGGGGCGGGGGGGGGGGAAGGGAGGGGGGAGAGAAAAGGTGTAATCAGCGCACCCCCCCTCCTCTTTGAATGCGCCCAGGTACGCCGAATAGCGCTTCAGGGCGCTTCATGTCAAACACTAGGGAGCAGCATCTCGTGGGGGGGAAGCGGAAAGAACAAGGGGTGTATTTGGAGGAGGGGGAGAGGGGAGAGGAGGGAGGGGGGAGAGAAAAGGTGTAATCAGCGCACCCCCCCTCCTCTTTGAATGCGCCCAGGTACGCCGAATAGCGCTTCAGGGCGCTTCATGTCAAACACTAGGGAGCAGCATCTGGTGGGGGGGAAGCGGAAAGAACAAGGGGTGTATTTGGAGGAGTGGGAGAGGGGAGAGGAGGGAGGGGGGCGAGGAGGGGGGATGAACAGGGAGTGTTTTCAAATCACCCCCCCTCCTCCGCAAACGCGGGACTTACCCCCAGCCTGCATTCAGTGGGGGAGGGCGGAAACGAAGGTGCTTCTCGAGCATTCCCCCTCCTCCTCTGTAAAGGCGTCCAAGTACACTGAATAGAGCTAATCCTTGCGATAAATAGCCTCACCTTCACTCATCACGGCTATAAGCAGCCTCACCTTCACTTATCTCCGCTAAAAGCAACCTCACCCTCGCTAACCCCCACAATCATCAGACACAACTGTGAAAGCCCACTATGCTCGTCAAGTCAAGTCCAGTCCAGTCCAGATCAGACCAGACCAGACCAGACCAGACCAGACCAGACCGGACAGGACCAGACCGGACCGGACAGGACTGGACCGGACCGGATTGGACCAGACCGGACCGGACCGGACCGGACCGGACCGGACCAGACCTGACCAGACCAGACCAGACCAGACAAGCTCAGCTCCAACTTTACCTGCTAGTCAAATACCACGCTCATTCCTAGGACAAACAGGCTAATGATCGCCGCTATAAGCAGACTCGTCTCGCCACCAAATTTGCACTGCATTCATCCAGCTCCAGCCTTAGCACCTCCAGATCCGCTTTTGAGTCGACTCAAAAGCAGTCGTCTCGCCACCAAATTTGCACTGGACTCATCCAGCTCCAGCCTTAGCACCTCCAGACTTTCCCAAGAGGCCTCCACCATTGAAAAGCAGGGTCATCCCCGCTATAAGCCGACTCACCTCTCCGCCAAACTTGCCCCCACTGAGTTCGTCCAGGTCCAGCCTCAGCAGCTCCAGCTTCTCCCCAAACACCCTCCGGTCACAAGCAGACCCAATATCCCCGCTATAAGCCGACTCACCTCGCCTCCGAACTTGCCCCCACTGAGTTCGTCCAGGTCCAGCCTCAGCAGCTCCAGCTTCTCCCCAAAAGCCTCCACCGCCTCTTCTGTTGCTTTCAGGGATGTGAGAGCCTCCTTTGCCACCGCATCCCTGGTTGCAAAGAAAGAACGGTAGAGGCGGAGGGGTGGAAAAGCGCTGAGGTCCAACACCTAGTGTGGCTCCTCCAGCCCCAGCAGCTCTGCCTTTCCCCCACAGACTTCCACCGCCTCTGCTGCCGCCTTCAGGGATGTGAGAGCCTCCTTTGCCACCGCATCCCTGGTTGCAAAGAGACAGGAAAGTGCAAAGCCAGATTAGAACACCTTCCGGATCAGCAGCTCTGCCTTCTCCTCCCCAAACACCTCCACCGCATGTGCTGCTGCTTTCAGGGATGTCAGAGCCTCCTTTGCAACAGCATCCCTGGTAGCAAGCAAAACGGGAGAGGAGGAGGGACGGACGGACGACAAATGCTGCTGGGCTGGGGTCAAGCACCTTCTGTAGCAGCAGCAGGCAGCAGCTCCAGCTTCTACCCAAGCACCTCCACCGCCTCTGCTGCTGCTTTCAGGAATGACAACGCTTCACTGCTGCCTCTAGGAATGCCATTCCTAGAGGCGGATATTCCTGAGGAATCACTAGTGATTCATCGCCTCCTCCGCCTCTAGTGATGAATCACTAGCATCACTGGTTGCAAGCACAACGGGGACGGAGGAGGGACGGACGGACGACGAATGCTGGGCTGGGGTCGGGTCTAGCACCTTGTGTGGCAGCAGCTCCAGCTTCTCCTTTGGAGCTCAATCACTGATGGTGGCGGAGGGAAAAGAAAGGGGAAAGGAAGGAAGAGTAACGCATGGAACGACTGTGCGTGTGCGTGTGCGTGTGCGGCAAATGCTGGGCTGGGGTCTAGCACCTGCTGTAGCAGCAGCTCCAGCTTCTCCTTGGCAGCTGAATCACTGACGGAGGAGGGGAAGGGGGATTGGAGGAAGGAATCCATTCAAATCCCAGCTTCTCCCAGAAGGGGGGAAGGGGGGACAAGGAGGGGTGGGAGAAGGAGCGGAGAAGCCACCGCGTCTGGGCGGTACGACTTGACCCAGTCTGGGGCGGAACGGGGAAGACAGGCGGGGAGGGGTGGGGGGGGGGAGTGGGGGGTGGGGAGAGGGGGGTGGGGGAGCGGGGGGGTGGGGGGGGGAGGATGTGGTGGAAGAAGTAGAGGGTAAGCCAGGCATAGAGGATTATGGGGGAGGGCAATGCTAGACAAATCGCTTACACTTTCGTAAGCCAGCGCCTCAGAGTGGAAATAAAAAAATGTGTTGTGACATACGAGAGAAGGTTCGAATCCTTTCTTTTACTCTAGTAGAGGCACCCCAGAATTCATGTCGACTCAAAAGTCACACGGAACTTCCGCCACATTTATGAGGCTGTGTGAGAGAAGCAGCCTACCGTTGAAGTTTGGGCGGCCGCCGTGGCGAGGGAGAGAGTTGGCGCGGTTCGGTAGAAGCAGAAGAAGGCAGGCCACGACGACGACGAGGAGAAACGTAGCACAAGGATTCCGAAACTCTAGCCTCATGGCGACCATTAAATGTAATAATTTAAGAGCTGAGAGCTTTTAGAGCCTTCTCTTATGTCTGTAGAGTGCGGTCCCAATGCGTCGTGCGAGGCGCGCGGACTATAGTGCACTAACGACGAGAGGTACGCGAGGCGACGACGATTACAGTACGGGAAGTGAGGTTGGTGCAACTTAGTAAGGCGAGGCCAGAGCAGGCAGATTCTCCTTTTGGCGTGATTCCGTTTCGAGTAAAACACGCACATTGTACACCAAGTTTTTCCGCTACACATTCGCCATATATATGGGACAATAGGCATATAAACCACCATATATCGATATTTTAAGAAATTCTCAAATTACAGATGAAATGAGTCGTCAAACTACCTTCTCTGCGGTCCACCCAATACAAAAGGCAGCTCACACCACCAGGCCTTCCATCTTACAATCGTAGTGCGCTAGCTTCAGCTGCTATGGTGTGGTGTGGTGCCTCTTCAATCAGTAAACCAACAGAAAACATTGAACCACGAGCAGGTTTCCGCAATACTGCCTCAAGTTCCAGGCCCGTGTAGGAATCAGTGTCCCCGTTGCTCAATGTACGATCCAGAGAGGCCCGATGTGCCCAGCAGACTAATCTGCAGCATGCGGAAAGGGTGGAGTAGGTGGGAGCGGGGGGGGGGAGGGGGGGTGGGAGTGGGGGGTGGGGGGGGGAGGGAGAGGAATTGTTCAGGCGATGGGGAGGAAACGAAGGAGACTTAAAAGTGCCCAATAAGCTACCCCGAAGCACGTGGAGAAGGCACGAGTCGGCAAAGGAAATTATCCAAAGCACCTCCTCCAGCATGTGAGAACCTCCTCCAGCATGTGAGAACCTCCTCCAGCTGGTTACCACTGCATCTTCGCTCTTTGGTAACCAGCTGAGTCTGCTTGAAGCGAAGAGTTCCTCATGCACCAAAGTGCCCATTGCTGGTGAAGGAGTCTGGATGGAGACGACTACTCGTGGGGGAGGGAGCCCCCCTTCCTTCACCTCCGGAGGGGGGGCGTTGGGGGGGGGGGAGGTTGCATTGACGCCCCTCAGAATCCGTCTACTCAATCCAAGCCCTTCCTCGCTTCTATGCCCCGGCCGGCCTCAGCCAGTGCCTGCCGCATAGCCACTGCACTGTGACTTGGGACCATGCGTGAGGAGTCTATTCTTGAGGCGCCTCAAAAATAGATGCCACACTTATCACAAAGCTTGCAACGCCAGTCACACTTACCCTTGAGGATATGATCTTATTCAACCTTATCCTCCGCTCAATTGCAGGTGTATTTTGAGTCGGTGATTTTTGAGTTGACTCAAAAATCAATTGCAGGAGTATTTTGAGTCGACTCAAAAAAAAAATGATCGCCGCTATAAGCAGACTCGTCTCGCCACCAAATTTGCACTGCATTCATCCAGCTCCAGCCTTAGCACCTCCAGATCCGCTTTTGAGTCGACTCAAAAGCAGTCCGTCTTGCCACCAAATTTGCACTGCACTCATCCAGCTCCAGCCTTAGCACCTCCAGACTTTCTGAAGAGGCCTCCACCATTGAAAAGCAGAGTCATCCCCGCTATAAGCCGACTCACCTCGCCGCCAAACTTGCCCCCACTGAGTTCGTCCAGGTCCAGCCTCAGTAGCTCCAGCTTCTCCCCAAAAACCTCCACCGCCTCTGCTGCTGCTTTCAGGGATGTGAGAGCCTCCTTTGCCACCGCATCCCTGGTTGCAAAGAAAGAACGGTAGAGGCGGAGGGGCGGAAAAGCGCTGAGGTCCAACACCTAGTGTGGCTCCTCCAGCCCCAGCAGCTCTGCCTTTCCCCCACAGACTTCCACCACCTCTGCTGCCGCCTTCAGGGATGTGAGAGCCTCCTTTGCCACCGCATCCCTGGTTGCAAAGAGACAGGAAAGTGCAAAGCCAGATTAGAACACCTTCCGGATCAGCAGCTCTGCCTTCTCCTCCCCAAACACCTCCACCGCATGTGCTGCTGCTTTCAGGGATGTCAGAGCCTCCTTTGCAACAGCATTCCTGGTAGCAAGCAAAACGGGAGAGGAGGAGGGACGGACGGACGACAAATGCTGCTGGGCTGGGGTCAAGCACCTTCTGTAGCAGCAGCAGGCAGCAGCTCCAGCTTCTACCCAAGCACCTCCACCGCCTCTGCTGCTGCTTTCAGGAATGACAACGCTTCACTGCTGCCCCTAGGAATGCCATTCCTAGAGGCGAATATTCCTGAGGAATCACTAGTGATTCATCGCCTCCTCCGCCTCTAGTGATGAATCACTAGCATCACTGGTTGCAAGCACAACGGGGACGGAGGAGGGACGGACGGACGACGAATGCTGGGCTGGGGTCGGGTCTAGCACCTTGTGTGGCAGCAGCTCCAGCTTCTCCTTTGGAGCTCAATCACTGATGGTGGCGGAGGGGAAAGAAAGGGGAAAGGAAGGAAGAGTAACGCATGGAACGACTATGCGTGTGCGTGTGCGGCAAATGCTGGGCTGGGGTCTAGCACCTGCTGTAGCAGCAGCTCCAGCTTCTCCTTGGCAGCTGAATCACTGACGGAGGAGGGGAAGGGGGATTGGAGGAAGGAATCCATTCAAATCCCAGCTTCTCCCAGAAGGGGGGAAGGGGGGACAAGGAGGGGTGGGAGAAGGGGGGGAAGGGGGGGTGGGGGGGGTTGGGGGGGGAAGAACATGTGTAATCAGCATACCCTCTCCTCCTCTTTGAGCGGCGCCAGGTACGCCAAAGCGCTTCAGAGCATAGGAGAGGGCCGCCTTCATGTCCTCCGGGATCTTACCCACAGCTTGCGTGGGGGAGTTGGAAAGGCGGGGGGAGGGGGAGAAAAGGTGTGTTCAGAGCCCCCCCCTCCTCTGCGAACTAGTCCAGGTACGCCGAATAGCAGTTTGGTAACCAGCAAAAGGTGTGCTCTTTGGTAACCAGCTGAGTCTGCTTGAAGCGAAGAGTTCCTCATGCACCAAAGTGCCCATTGCTGGTGAAGGAGTCTGGATGGAAACGACTACTATTGGGGGAGGGAGCCCCCCTTCCTTCACCTCCGGGGGGGGGGGGCGCGTTGGGGGGGGAGGTTGCATTGACGCCCCTCAGAATCCGTCAACTCGATCCAAGCCCTTCCTCGCTTCTATGCCCCGGCCGGCCTCAGCCAGTGCCTACCGCATAGCCACTGCAGTGTGACCTGGGACCATGCGTGAGGAGTCTATTCTTGAGGCGCCTCAAAAATAGATGCCACACTTATCACAAAGCTCGCTGCTCCAGTTACACTTACCCTGGAGGATATGATCTTATTCCACCTTATCCTCCACTCAATTGCAGGTGTATTTTGAGTCGGTGATTTTTGAGTTGACTCAAAAATCAAGTGCAGGTGTATTTTGAGTCGACTCAAAAAACAAATGCAGGTGTATTTTGAGTCGACTCAAAAATCAATTGCAGGTGTATTTTGAGTTGACTCAAAATACACCTGATCTTATTCCACCTTATCCTCCGCTCAATTGCGAAAGTGTAGCACTC